GCCTTGTCCCCAGAAGCTGGACTCAGCCAAGAGGCCAAGGCCAGGCGCCCCCCCCCCCTCAAATGGAACCCCGCTGGGGAACAGAGGAGCAAGGGAGGAGCTGGTCAGACCCACAGGAGCCTGAGCAGAGGCCTGGCCGGGTCCCCACCTCAGAAATGCGCACCCACACTCCACACTCACACACGCACGCATTCAGCCTGCCCCCATCCCCCACCCCGTCCTGCCTGCCGCGTCCCCTGGGGACTGAAGGGGACATCAGACAGTCCCGTTGGTTTGAAAAATAAAAGGAATCTTATACTTCAATATTTCATTAGCTAAAAAAATGCTTTAAAAAGTATGTACAGGGGGTGGGGGCAGCGTGGGATGTGGGGGTGGGGGTGGAGGGCAGCAGCCCCCCAGCCTGCTCCCTGGCTGCTAGCCCTGGCCCTACTGCCTCGCATATCCATTTGTTTAAAAGCAAAACTTCTACACACACACACACACACACACACACACACACACACACACACACACACTTCTGTGAGCCCAGGAAACCTCTCGTTCTATTCGCAGAGACCCTCAGTCTTTCCCCAAGAGCCTCCCACTCGGGACCTGCCCCACTCAGGCCCCAGGGGAAAAGTGGGGGCAACAGAGGTGGGCACAGGGTGGGGAGAGAGAGGGGCGCCGGGCCCGCCACTGCCCACCACCTTAGATCAGTTATGAAGTTTCTCTGAGCCTCAGTTTCCTCAGCTGTGAAATGGGCAGTCCCCTCAGCCTCGCCTATCCCAGCCCCCAGGCGCAGGGACAGACGAGGGAGACAGGAAGGCGCTTTTGGAAACATGGAAGCACTGGGAGGTGGTGGCAGGAGGGGTCCTGAGAACCCTGGGGCCCCTGCAAGTCCCAAGAGGTTGCAGCAAGGGGCCCAGGGCCTGGGGAGGGAGCCTTCCTGAGCCTCCCAGGCCGGCCCCTCCCCGCCTGGCCTGGTGAGTGGGGAGACCACTGCTAGGGGTTAGGAGAGGGGGAGCAGGAGCCCCCCTGACGGCGCCCGAGTGTGCTAGGGAAGGCAGTGCAGAGCTCGCACCGGCCGCTGCCCTCTCCCAGCCCGCTCGGATTGGGGTCAGAGAGTGGGATGGGGAGGCAGAAGGGCTGGGAGCATGCAGCGCCCCCCGCGGGTCCTGGGGAGGGACAGACAGTAGCTCGTGACCAAGATGGTAGGTGGGCGTGATCGGGTGGGGGTGGGGGGTGGGGGGGGGAGTGTGACGGCCCCGCGGGGAGGGTCCGGTGGTAGTTACTGGAGGGCCTCGGCCGAGGGGCCGGCCTCGCCGTCGTGGCTGGCCGTCTCGAAGCTGTGCTCCACGCCCATCATGTCCGGCTCGATCTTGCCCGTGTCGCTGATGAAGGTGGTGTAGGCATCGCCCTCCGCCATGAGCACCTTGAGCTTGGGGATCCAGCTTTTCCGCACGACACGGCGGGCGTTGGTGCACATGTCAGCCGCGATGGCGTTCATCTCACTCTCCTTGAAGTTGGGAGCAAAGTTCTGGCAGTAGTCTGCGAGGGCACAGACAGAGCGGGGCTCAGGCAGAGTGTGGCCCCGGCCGCTCACACTGCCAGCGGCCACGCGGCCACGCTGCTCCTTGATTCCCAAACACACACCCAGGGCAGCCCCGAACCCCCCTCAGAGGTGGCGGAACGGAGGAACCCGCGAGCCACGACGTCAGTCGACCCCATGCCTGACTGGGCTCGGCCGTGTGTGGGGTTTGAGAGGATGGCCCACGGCTCTTGAAAAGTCTGGGTCATTTGCCAGAATTTAGGAACTGCGAGATTCCACACGAAAACCCAGACTTCTCTCCCGACAGCTGGCTAGGGCCTGGCTGCTTCACCACTCCCATGACTCCCCGAGGACCCCTCCCCCCGCACTCCCACCCCCACAGCTGACACAGGCTGACCTTCAGTGCCCCCCGCCCCTCACTACGGGGAAATCTCTATCCAGTCACAGCCTTCTTCCCCACAGGCCTAGATTGAGCCTCAGAATCTTGACCCCAAACCCCACCCATCTATCAGGGCCAACGCGGAAGAGGACCATCCGCCTGCCCCGGGCCCCGCCCCTCCAGAGACTCACACTTGACAGCGTGAAGGACGCGACTGTCCAGCGGTTTGCGGCTGGGGTTGTTGGAGGAAGAGCGGATGCCGGTGCCACAGCTGTTGGCCAGCGTGTTCCTGGGGTGGAGGGCACGGAGGAGAGGAGTCAGGCCGCCCGTGGCAGGGGGTATGGGGCGGCCCCCCTCCCCTCCAGCCGGGCTCTGCGAGGGCCTCACCGGTCAAAGAAGGAGGCCAGGAGGCGCCGCAGCAGGACCTTGTGCCGCGTGCCCGCGCTGACATGGCAGTTCATGAGCTGTGCCCTCGTGATGTACACATTGGTGCCTGGAGTGGGGAGCAGGAGGGTGGCCGGGGGGCCCCAAACTGCCACGTTCCCCACTTGGCCGGGCCCCGGCCTGGGCCCGGCCAAGACGCTCCCTGACAACTCGCCCCGGCGTGGCCTCGTCCGCGGTCAGGCGAGGACAGATGGTGGTGCCGCTGTGCACGGGGCACCTAGAACATGCCGGGCCCTGCTTGCACACGGGGGGCTTTTGCCCACACAACCACCTGGGCATCAAAAAGAACAGGCAGTGGAAGCTCACGCCAAGGCACCCTGCCTCCAAGAGCCGAGATTCTTAGCCACCATATCAGGTAACCCCCAAACCACCCTAAGAAGCCGCTCATCTACCCGCGTGGCCAACAGTGCCTACCCACAATTATACCAGCCTCTGGGGCAGAAGCCTGGAGGCCGGCCTTTGGGACGAATCAACCCCAAGGGGTGTCAGCTGCCCCAAGACATGGCCAGCGGTGGCAGCGGGGCTGGAGTCAGATCCCAAGTGTGGCTCCTAAACACCGGGCCAGGGGCGCTGGCTCAGAGGGCAGACATGGGGGAGGAAAGGGGGGGTTCTGGGGAGGAAGTGACGCTGGCCCACCTGTCACCAGCTCCAGCTTCTCGGAGGGGTCCCCCTCGTCGTAGAGCTTGGGGTGGCAGCGGTTGCCGATCTGGTTGATGAGCTCGGCCGGGAGAGACGCCAGGTCTTGCCGCACCCGGATGCGATTCCGGGACTCGGGGGCCACCTGCTCAGGGAGGGCCTCCACCTTCTCGGCTTCGGGGGCAGAGAGCAGCACGTGTCGGGGACCGGGGCTGGGGCGGGGGGGGGGACGGGGGGGGGAGGGCAGGGCAGGCACCTCACCTGTCTGGCCGACGTTCATCATGCTGTACATGGTGTACATGTTGCAGATCTGCCGGTACTGCTCGTCCGTGCCCTCCTCGCCTGCATCCTCCTCCTCATCCTCCTCGTTGTGGTAGGAGCCGGGGCTGTCGCTGGTATAGGCACTCGAGGTGCCTGGGCTGGTCCGCTCTGACGTGCTGGGCCCGCTCACCACGCCCCCTGCCGCCACCGCCGCCGCTGCCGCCCCCCCAGCCGGTTGCCCGGTGCCGGCCCCCGCCGCCGCCGCCGCCGCCGCC